TTGTTATTGCGTTATTGAACTCGGCATTAAATTTTAATTTTTTTTAATATTGTGATCACCTCTGTGAATTCAGCCAGCATTTTTTTTTTACTTTGTACCTATTTATGTACGCTGGTTCCCCTCCTTCGTTTGTTTTTGTAAGTGAGTAGCTGGGCAAATGTTAGTGGAGAGAGGCAGTGGCTCAGTGGTACAGCATCTGCTTGGCATGCACAAGGTCCCAGGTTCAGTTCCCAGCATCTCCAGTTAAAAGGACCAGGCATTCGGTGATGCTGCCAGTCCAAGTAGACAGTAACACAGGGAATTCAGTGCTGCAGGAGGTGGTGGCTTCTACAAGCATGGACAGCTTCAAGAGGGGATTGGATAAACATATGGAGCACAGATCCCTCAGTAGCTTTTAGGCACAAGGAATAGATGGGACACTATGTCTGGAGCAGTGATGCTCTGTATTCTTGGTGCTTCAGGGGCAACAGTGGGATTGCTTCTAGAGTTCTGGTCCCACTGTTGCACCAAATTCTATGCTTTCTCCCATACACGGATTTGAACCAGGCGAACCCCATGGAGGCCTGTGGGGCTTCCCGGATCACAAACATCAAAGTGTCGATATAAAGGTCCCATGCAGTTGGCCATTCACATGCTAACTTCCTCAGCATTGATTTTATGATTTGGTTCAAACATTCCACCAGTCCATCCATTTGAGGATGGTGTATGGTGATGAAGATCTGGCAGATCTGTAAAACTTAACAAAGTCCCTCTATCCATTAGAGTGTCCTGCAGTAAGCTCACATGGGCAGAGAAATGCATTAGGGCCTTAGCCACCCCTGCACTTTTCATGTTCCAAAGAGTAAAGGCCTCAAGGTAATGGGTGGCATAGTCCATCAGCATGAATAGACGTTGGGAGTCCCAAGGTGTGCAGGGGAGGGGGCCTACAAAGTCCATAGTGACTTGACCAAAAGAAGTGTGGATGATGGGTAAAGGGGGAGAGAGGGGACTGGCCCACCTCACAGGTCTTACAGAAGTCCTGGACATCTTTGGCCACCACCGGTCAAAAGAATTGGGTTAGTACCATAATTCCCTCTAAGCTGTGCTAGGGGGTGCTGGTGTAAAAAAATTTAGCTGCCGGCTCAGGGAATTTAATGTTCTGATCATATTAATGCATTTTCCCTCAATTGAAAACAATGCTGCAAATGTGGTGCCTCTACCTCAAAAGAAACACACCCCCAGAGCTCCAGATAGTCCTGGATCAATTCTCCATTGTAGCCTACTAGGAATAAGGCCTGTTGTGAAAATAAATACAATGAGCTCTAGAAAGAGGCTGTGGGCGGGTGCACTCAGCATCAATTTGCTGTGGCAACCTCAGCAGTGTATAATGACACAGACTCCACCATTTTCTCCAGAGGAACTGATCTTTGCTACCTCACCTGGACATTGGCAGCTATGGTTCCCCAGGAAGAAAATGGCTGGTTTGGAGAGGGGAGACTATGGCATTGTACCTATCTGAGGTCTCACCCCTCATCAAACCCCACCCTCTCCAGGCTCCACCCCTCAAATATCCAGGAATTTCCCAACCTGGAGGTGGCAACCCTATCTCCTTCCCAGCCAACAACCAACCTACCTTTATCTGTCCCTCTGATTTCAGCTTTCCATCTCCTCCCCCTCCCTCCTAGAGAGCAGTTGTAATTTTGAGTGGTCTCCAGCCCCCACCTGGAGATTGGAAACAATGGTTAAATTACCCAGGAAGAAATGGCTGGTTTGGAGGCTGGACCCTGCTCTGAAGCACTGTTATTTATATGGCAAGGGGAAAAGCCAAGAATTAAATTGAAAGCCTTGAAGGATGTGAAAGATAATGCTGGATCTGGAGTACCTGACTGTAAAAATTACTATAGGGCACCAAGTTTGGTTTTAAGATTATGCATGGGATAGAGCAGGTAGAGAAAGAGGTACTTTTCTCTCTTTCTCACAATACAAGAATTTGTGGGCACTCAATGAAATTGTTGAGCGGGTGGGTTAGAACGGATAAAAGGAAGTACTTCTTCACCCAAAGAGTGATTAATACAGGGAATTCACTGCCACAGTGGTGGTGGCTACAAGCATGGACGGCTTCAAAAGGGAATTAGATAAACATATGGAGGAGAGGTCTATCAGTGGCTTTTAGCCACAAGGTATAGATAGGGGCTCTGGGGCAAGTGATGCTGTGTCTTCTTAGTGCTTGGGGGGGGGGCAACAGTGGGAGGGCTTCTAATGTCCTGGCCCCACTGGTGGGCCTCCTAATTGCACCTGGTATTTTTGGCAACTGTGTGATAGAGTATTGGACTGGATGGGCCTTTGGCCTGATCCAACATTGGCGTCTCTTATGTTCTTATCACCTGTGCCCTCGTGTCTTCAAATGCCTCATTCAGCATTTCTGTATATTTAAATAAAAGAGTAATCAAAGTGGCACTCAACTTGTAAAAATATAACACTCGATGATCACATGTTCAATAATTTCAACATTGTCATATGAGCAGCTACATGTTCTGTTTGAATATGGCACTTTTTAATGTCTGCCCTCCAAGACCACGTCATTTTCAGAGCAAAACTAAATCTCACCAAAAAAAAAGCGGTGCAACATTACTCTCTGTTGGCATTCTTTGTATTAGACTGAATTGCTGTCCAGTCCATTATTCAGTACCAGATATGTGCAGACTTTCACCAGAGGAAGACATGAATTTGCCTTATACTACATCAGACCATTAATGCATCCAGATGAGTAGTCTCTACTTGAACTGGCAGCAGCTGGTGGTGGTGATAATGATGATGCTATAAGAATGTGGGGAAGATGCAGGAGGTAATTATGAGAGGAAAGGGAAGGAAAAGTAAGGGGGAAAAGGAAGAAGAATGGGAAATATGATTTTGGATCTCTTTTCCGGTGTTTCCATACCAACTCCGCCAAATATTCATTAGGCAAGCAAAGAACAATATTCGCAAACAATATTTCACATTCTGTAGAAATTAAGATGAGACGTCTACTGCAGCCCAACTAGCGCCATAGCAAAAAAGGTAATGATTCCATCCATCTGATCCGGAGACTCACAAACAGTACTCTGAGGTGGGGGGAGGCTTTGTACATTATTAGTTCACTGATAGGGCAACTGTCTCTGAGGAGACCATCTTGTTTAGAAGAAGAGCAGAGCAGCCCTCCACAGACAAGGTCCCAAGGGCCATTAATTTCCAGGAGGAAAGCTTCTGCCAAGCTTTGAAAACAGGGTTTGGCCTTCATGTGGGAACCCATAAGAAATCTTCACACACATCCAGCAGTGCAGTCACTTGTCTCTCCTCTGCACAAATGACATCGGAGCCTGGGGTTTGAGCCAAGGGATAACACATGGCCCTATGCCAGTACCGTGACTTCCTCATGCCCTTGACTGTGGGAGTAGCTGTCTGCGTGTTACTGAGGTACAGGACATAGATCATTACCAAAGCAGAAGGGGGTGGGAGAGGGGATCTGAGACGGTGATGGTTGCTCATTGGTCAGTATGCAAGAAATGTCTGAAAGCTTTTAATCTCTGCTTCCAGAGATGAGAAAATACTGCTGGATTTTTCATTACCAAACTTGTAGTCTAAAAGACCATAGAAGGCATTTGATGGTCCACTGGGGAACCAGTGAACAGTTACTTATGATCCACCAATTGCTGTGATTTCCGAAAATTACCGTGGACTAGATGGGTTTAGTGTTGGTCCATCAAAGCATGTTCTTAAGAAAGACGATGTAGTAAGGATAACTTAGCATGGCATGGTTGTGCCAGAACCTGTTCCCAGGTCCTGAGTAAGTATTATTGCATTGTGAACTAGTTGGAAAGGAAAGGTTTTACAAGGAAGGAAATGCAAAAATGAAATCTCCATAACCAGCCTAATTCATAACATTTAATGATAAAACACCCAATGTCAGAAGATGCCGTGATGGCCACAGGAACAAACAGCTTTAAAAGGTAATTATATAGATTCACATAGGATAAATCTATCAGTGGCTACTAGCCATGGTGACTGAGGGGAAACTCCATGTTCAGAGGTACTAAGCCCCTGAATCCCAGAGGCGGGAGGCAACATCAGGGGAATGCCTCAGCATCTATGCTCTGATGTTGGCCCTCCAGAGGAACTGGTTGTCCACTGTGAGAGAGAGGAAGCTGGGCTGGATGGACCACCAGCCTGATCCAGCAGGGCTCTTCTTAGGTTATTATGGCTGCGGTCACATGGAGCATTAGGCATGCTAGAGAGACGGAAGATAGGTGGATGTTTCGGGCGCGATCTCACCACCACATCTGGGAAGCGTAGAGCTCCCGTGGCGAACCCGAGGCTTCCCGCCAAAGATGCGCGGTTAAAAACTAGTACCTCGGAGGTACTAGTTTCCGGTAACCGCGGGGCAAGGACGGATGTCTGATTGCGTTTCTGGTGGTAGTTCTGGCGCCCGCCCATGCCCCCTTGTATAAAGGTTTGTTTTTTTTCAACTGTCCATGGGATGCGCATGAGCACCCAACGGGGCATGTGCACACTTTGGTGTCTGGGGAAAAAAACACCCGTTTGCCGCACTGCACCGCGCCGCTTCTTTGCCGCGGCGCAGGATTGTGGTGTGCTCGGCATCTCCCCCCTACCACGGGACCTCCATGGGACCTCCACGGGACCTCCACGGTACGTCTGCTGGTGCAACCGCACGTTATTTTGCCTCGGAGCAAACAGCCACGCTTCCCCCCCACATTTTCCTGCCCGTGTGCCCGCGGCCTATGTTCAGTGGGGAAAACAACAGACGTTTTGGCTTCCCTGTTATACAGATTAGTCTTTGGTCTTTGTCTATAAATGGCTCTCTTAACAGCAACCATCCTCTCCCCCAGCAGCACTTGCATGCCATATACTAAACCTAAACTACACTATTCCCAGCAGGTGCTTCATCTATGCAAAACATCAAAAGGAGCACCTTAGCAATGAACAGTGGGTGATTAGCCTCCTCACAGACTGATGGTGCTTTCTACATGGAGCTAGTAAATGGAACCACGGTTCAGGAGTTCATTCTGCTAGGCTTCAGCGTGGGACAACAGGGGCGAATGCTGCTTTTTGCCTTGTTCACAGCTATCTATGCCCTCACATTGGCTGAAAACTTCATTATCATCATGACGGTCATTCAAGACTCTCACCTGGCCCGCCTTCCCATGTACATCCTGCTGGGCAACTTCTCCTGCCTGGAGATCTGTTATGTCACTGCTACTGTGCCGAGAATGCTTTTTGACCTGCCTTTCACACACGGGGTCATCTCCTTCCATGCCTGCTTCATCCAGTTTTATGTCTTCTTCTCACTCGGCTGTACTGAATTGTTGCTCCTCTCAGCCATGGCCTTGGATCGGTATTTGGCCATCTGCCGCCCTCTGCAATACTCCAAGATTATGTCCCAAGATTCTTGCTATGCTCTGTCCCAAGATTCTTGCTATGTTCTAGTGGCTGTTTGTTGGATCTTTGGTATTCTGACACATGTTGTACCAGGGGTTTTGATCTCCAGGCTGTCTTTTTGTGGTCCCAACACTATTGACCACTTCCTTTGTGACCCGGGCCCCATCCTAGCCTTGGCTTGCCCTCCTGTAGGGTATGTTGCCACCCTTCTCCATGTCATTGTCTCCTCTGTGCTGCTGGCCACCTTCCTCTTCATTGTTGTGTCCTATGGATTTGTAGGTGTCACCTTGGTGAAAGCCTCTAGTCCAAGTAGCCGCGGCAAGGGCTTCTCCACAGTCTCTTCCCACCTAGCAGTGGTGACCCTTTTCTATGGCTCTGTTGCAGCTATGTATGCCGGTCCCGATGGGGAGAGTCATGCCACAGTCACTAAAGTGGTGACTCTTTTCTACTCATCGGTTACCCCTCTGCTTAACCCCCTGATCTACTGTCTCAGGAATGATCAGGTAAAGGAAGCAATGGCCAGGCTCTTGAAAAAGAAGAGGATCATATAGGAAAATCAAAGGAAATAATACATGACTCTATAAATAAGACATGATTCTACGGCAATCAGTTACCAAACATTCTACAAGTGATGGTCCTTTCTACTAGTGCATTCTTAAAGACTGGTTTTTCATTTATGTTTCTGTTCTGTATGAAGACTACTTCAGATCTGAACATTATATATTCTTTATACTGCTGTTGTTATTCTTCCTGTTTTGATCCCTATTAAATCGTGGACAAATGCGCAGAAATGTGTTCCTATACAGATGTGTATTCCTGAGTAGCTGGGCAAATGTTAGTGGAGAGGGGCAGTGGCTCAGTGGTACAGCATCTGCTTGGCATGCACAAGGTCCCAGGTTCAGTTCCCAGCATCTCCAGTTAAAAGGACCAGGCACTGGGTGATGTGACAGACCTCTACCTGAGACCCTGGAGTGCTGCTGCCAGTCTGAGTAGACAGTAACACAGGGAATTCAGTGCTGCAGGAGGTGGTGGCTTCTACAAGCATGGACAGCTTCAAGAGGGGATTGGATAAACATATGGAGCACAGATCCCTCAGTAGCTTTTAGGCACAAGGAATAGATGGGACACTATGTCTGGAGCAGTGATGCTCTGTATTCTTGGTGCTTCAGGGGCAACAGTGGGATTGCTTCTAGAGTTCTGGTCCCACTGTTGCACCAAATTCTATGCTTTCTCCCATACACGGATTTGAACCAGGCGAACCCCATGGAGGCCTGTGGGGCTTCCCGGATCACAAACATCAAAGTGTCGATATAAAGGTCCCATGCAGTTGGCCATTCACATGCTAACTTCCTCAGCATTGATTTTATGATTTGGTTCAAACATTCCACCAGTCCATCCATTTGAGGATGGTGTATGGTGATGAAGATCTGGCAGATCTGTAAAACTTAACAAAGTCCCTCTATCCATTAGAGTGTCCTGCAGTAAGCTCACATGGGCAGAGAAATGCATTAGGGCCTTAGCCACCCCTGCACTTTTCATGTTCCAAAGGGTAAAGGCCTCAAGGTAATGGGTGGCATAGTCCATCAGCATGAATAGACGTTGGGAGTCCCAAGGTGTGCAGGGGAGGGGGCCTACAAAGTCCATAGTGACTTGACCAAAAGAAGTGTGGATGATGGGTAAAGGGGGAGAGAGGGGACTGGCCCACCTCACAGGTCTTACAGAAGTCCTGGACATCTTTGGCCACCACCGGTCAAAAGAATTGGGTTAGTACCATAATTCCCTCTAAGCTGTGCTAGGGGGTGCTGGTGTAAAAAAATTTAGCTGCCGGCTCAGGGAATTTAATGTTCTGATCATATTAATGCATTTTCCCTCAATTGGAAACAATGCTGCAAATGTGGTGCCTCTACCTCAAAAGAAACACACCCCCAGAGCTCCAGATAGTCCTGGATCAATTCTCCATTGTAGCCTACTAGGAATAAGGCCTGTTGTGAAAATAAATACAATGAGCTCTAGAAAGAGGCTGTGGGCGGGTGCACTCAGCATCAATTTGCTGTGGCAACCTCAGCAGTGTATAATGACACAGACTCCACCATTTTCTCCAGAGGAACTGATCTTTGCTACCTCACCTGGACATTGGCAGCTATGGTTCCCCAGGAAGAAAATGGCTGGTTTGGAGAGGGGAGACTATGGCATTGTACCTATCTGAGGTCTCACCCCTCATCAAACCCCACCCTCTCCAGGCTCCACCCCTCAAATATCCAGGAATTTCCCAACCTGGAGGTGGCAACCCTATCTCCTTCCCAGCCAACAACCAACCTACCTTTATCTGTCCCTCTGATTTCAGCTTTCCATCTCCTCCCCCTCCCTCCTAGAGAGCAGTTGTAATTTTGAGTGGTCTCCAGCCCCCACCTGGAGACTGGAAACAATGGTTAAATTACCCAGGAAGAAATGGCTGGTTTGGAGGCTGGACCCTGCTCTGAAGCACTGTTATTTATATGGCAAGGGGAAAAGCCAAGAATTAAATTGAAAGCCTTGAAGGATGTGAAAGATAATGCTGGATCTGGAGTACCTGACTGTAAAAATTACTATAGGGCACCAAGTTTGGTTTAGTTGAGAGAATGGATTTTACTTGAAGATCATAGGCTGCTGGCTTTAGAAGGACACGACTTAAAACATTCCATCCATCTGACCTGAAGACTCACAAACAGTACTGTGAGGTGGGAGGAGGCTTTGTAAATTGTTAGTTCTCTGATAGGGCAACTGGTCTCTGAGGAGACCATCTTGTTTAGATGAAAAGCAGAGCAGCCTTCCACAAATAAGGTCCCAAGGGCCATTAATTTCCTGGAGGAAAGCTTCTACAAAGCTTTCAAAACCATTGTTCGGCCTTCATGTGGGAACTCATAAGAAATCTTCACATGCATCCAACAGTGCTGTCTACCCAACAGTGCACTCTACACAAATGAGATTGAAGCCTGGGGTTTGACACAAGGAATAATACATCACCCTTCATATGCTGGTACTGTGACTTCCTCATGCCCTTGACTGTGGGAGCAGCTGTCTGTGCATTACAGAGGTACAGGAACGTGGATTATTACCAAAGCAGAAGGGGGTGGCTTTGGTGGTCTGAGAGGGTGATGATTGCCCATTGGCTAGTATGCAAGAAAGTTCTGAAAAAAATTGATTTCTGCTTCCCGAGAAGAGAAGATACTGCTGGTTTCTCATTACCAAACTTGCAGTCTAAAAGACCATAGAAGGCATTTGATGGTCCACTGGGGAACCAATCAATAGTTTCCTGTGATCCACCAATTGCTGTGATTTCTGAAAACTACTGTGGCTTAGAGGGGATTCGTGCTGGTCCAGCAAAGCATGTTTTTAAGAAAGAGGACATAGTAAGGATCACTTAGTATGGCATGGTTCTGTCAGAACTGTCCTCAGGTCCTTAGTAGGTATTCTTGTATTGTGAACTAGGAACATGTTGGAATGGAAAGGTTTTACTTGAAAGAATCGCATATGCAAAATTGAAATCCCCATAACCAGTCTAATTCACATCATTTAATGATAGAACACCCACTGCCAGAGAAGGAACACCCGCTGCCAGTTTTAAAAGGGAATTATATAGATTCATGGAGGATAAATCTATCAGTGACTGAGGGAAACCTCCACGTTCAGAGGCACTAAGTCTCTGAATCCCAGAGCTGGAAGGCAACATCAGGAGAAAGCCTCGGCCTCTATGCCCTGTTTTTGGCCCTCCAGAGGAACTGGTTGTCCACTGTGTGAGGCAGGATGCTGGGCTAGAGGGACCATATGTCTGATCCAGCAAGACTCTTCTTAGGTTCTTAGGTTCAATGTGGAAAACTACAGACGTTTTGGCTTTCCTGTTATGCAGATTGGTCTTTGCCTATAAATGGTTCTTTTAACAGCAGCCATCCTTTCCCCCAGCAGCACTTGCATGCCGTATGCTAAACCCAAACTATACTATTCCCAGCACGTGCTTCATCTATGCCAAACGTCAGAAGGAGCACCTTAGCAATGGACAGTGAGCGATTAGCCTCCTCGCAGACTGATGGTGCATTCCACATGGAGCTAGTCAACAGGATTGTGGTCCAGGAATTCATTCTGCTGGGCTTCAGCGTGGGACAACAGGGACAAATGCTGCTTTTCGCCTTGTTCACAGCTATCTACACCCTCACTTTGGCTGAGAACTTCATTATCATCATGATAGTCATTCAAGACTCTCATCTGTCCCGCCTTCCCATGTACATCCTGCTGGGGAACTTCTCCTTCTTGGAGATGTGCTATCTCACTGCCACTGTGCCGAGAATGCTTTTTGACCTGTCTTTCACACACGGGGTCATCTCCTTCCATGCCTGCTTCATCCAGTTATATGTCTTCTTCTCACTCGGCTGCACCGAATGTTACTTCCTCTCAGCCATGGCCTTGGATTGGTATTTGGCCATCTGCCACCATCTACATTATGTCCCCAAACTCTTGATATGCTCTAGTGGCTGCTTGTTGGATTATTGGTTTTGTGGTGTATGTTGTACCAGTGGTTTTGATCTCCAGGCTGTCCTTTTGTGGTCCCAACATTATTGACCACTTCCTTTGTGACCCTGGCCCCATTCTAGCCTTGGCTTGCTCTCCTATAGGGTATCTTGCCCCCCTCTTCAAGTTCATTGTCTCCTCTGGGGTGCGGGCCACCTTCGTCTTCATTGTTGTGTCCTATGGATTTGTAGGTGTCACCTTGGTGAAAGCCTCTAGCCACAGTAGCCGTGGCAAGGGCTTCTCCACGGTCTCTTCACACCTAGCAGTGGTGACCCTTTTCTTTGGCTCTGTGGCAGCTATGTATGCCGTACCCAATGGGGAGAGCCATGCCACGGTCACCAAAGTGGTGACTCTTTTCTACTCATCTGTTACCCCTCTGTTTAATCCTCTGATCTACTGTCTCAAGAATGATCAGGTAAAGGAAGCAATGACCAGGCTCTTGAAAAAGAACAGGATCATATAGGACAATCAAAGGAAATAATACACGAATCTCTATATTTTTGTTGTTCAGGGCAATCAATCAGCAAAGGTTGTGTGAGAGATGGTCCTTTTTACCAGTGTATTCTCAAAGACTGATTTTTCATTTATGTTTCCTGATCTGTATAAAGACTGCTATAGATCTCGTCATTATAAAGATATTGTTTATACTGCTGTTGTGATTGTTCCTGTTACGATTCCTATTAAATGCTGGGCAAATGCACAGAAACGTGGTCCTATACAGATGTGCATAACTGAGTACCTGAGCGAAAGTTAGTGGAGAGGTGCTGTGGCTCAGTTCCTGACTTCAGTGCTCTCTGGGGCACATGTGGGGAAAGACGGTCCCTCAAGTAGGCAGGTCCCTGACCATATAGGGCTTTAAAGATCACAACCAGCACCTTGAAGCGGATCCAGTATGCTATTGGCAGCCAGTGCAGTGCCTTCAGCACAGGCTGGATGTGGTCCCGTATAGAGAGACCAATCAACAGCTTGACTGCCACATTTTGCACTAGCTGCAGCTTCCAGATCTGAG